ATAATTCTTCCATTAGGTCAGTTATTTGATGCCCCTCAATAAATGAACATGCTGTGACGGTTTGGTTCTTCCATGTCTTACTTTGAAGTGATTCCAGTTTGTTAGGTAACTATTAATAGAGCGAGGCTTGCCCGCTTTGGCCATGCATACTTTTGTAAACCCATCAAAGTAATGACACTATGGAAAAAAGTATCATTTCTCTGTTAGCAGGCTGTGAGTTTGAGTGGGTCTGGGTAGCTTGTCCTGTTTTATTACAACCACTCGTGAAGACCTGATGAAATAAATGTGGTGTTTGACTAACTTGTTCAGGTGTTAAACCTTCATTTCAGCCCATCATTAAGAGACTGTGGATCTCACCTGGTCAGATCCAGAAAAATGAGTAGTAATTTATCAATATTGCTATTGCTCATACATGAGCTTAAGGATCTGAATGAACGCCTAAGCCCATGTATTAAACTTCAGTTGTTTTGTTACCGACATATATGATTCCTCAAATGAATATGATAATTGATTAAATGGACAAAAATGTCTTTACTAGCTCTGTCTTGGGATCTTACAGAGATTTGGGGGACGGTTTTTTTTTCCACTCGAGGGATAGTAAGCAATGCAATTAACCAATGCCATAACCAAACGGAGCATACTAGTAACTGCCAGTGTTATTGTTAACTAAAGCACTTCAAAATCATTTTTGTTAACTGAAATAAAGCTAACATAAAATATATTAGATGGAAAAACTTAAATGAAGATTATAAATATTGACTGGAAACTTACTGAAGCAAGTTTAATTCGAACTAGAATAATTACTAAAAACAAAACTGAAATGAACATAAATTAAAACTAAATAAAATGTAAAAAAAAACAAACAAAAAAAAAACTACTAAATATGAGTATATAATTGATTTGATTAAAATTAAAATTCATAATAAAAAAATGTCCTTGTCAGTTTTTTTTTTCCATTTATCAATATTGCTATTGCTCATACATGAGCTTAAGGATCTGAATGAACGCCTAAGCCCATGTATTAAACTTCAGTTGTTTTGTTACCGACATATATGATTCCTCAAATGAATATGATAATTGATTAAATGGACAAAAATGTCTTTACTAGCTCTGTCTTGGGATCTTACAGAGATTTGGGGGACGTTTTTTTTTTTCCACTCGAGGGATAGTAAGCAATGCAATTAACCAATGCCATAACCAAACGGAGCATACTAGTAACTGCCAGTGTTGTTAACTAAAGCACTTCAAAATCATTTTTGTTAACTGAAATAAAGCTAACATAAAATATATTAGATGGAAAAACTTAAATGAAGATTATAAATATTGACTTGAAACTTACTGAAGCAAGTTTAATTCGAACTAGAATAATTACTAAAAACAAAACTGAAATGAACAAATTAAAACTAAATAAAATGTAAAAAAACAAAAAACAAAAAAAAAACTACTAAATATGATGAATATATAATTGATTTGATTAAAATTAAAATTCATAATAAAAACATTTCCTTGTCAGTTTTTTTTTTCCTTTCATAATTGTTGTAAAATGTCAGAATTATGTGGTTTCTTAAAATGTTATTTCAGGTCGTCTTGGCAACCTAAAGTCATTCTTGTGGCCTTTAAAAAAAACAAACAAAAAAAAAAAGCTTTAATGCGAACTTAAAGGGATAGTTCAACCCAAAATGACAATACTATCATAATTTACTTGCTCTCGTGTTTTTTCTAAGACTGTATGATTTTCCCTGGAACACAAAAAGAAGATATTTTGAATTGTAACAATGTTTTTTAAAAGCCATTGGAGTCTAATGTTGTTTGGTCCCCACTGACATTCAAAATAACTTCTTTTTTCTTTCTGTAGAGAAGTAAAATGACACTGAATAAGAAAATGATGACAACTAGAATTTTAGGGTAAACTAACCGTATCGCATACGCCTGAAATGACTTACTGCACTAGGATTTCGGCCTGCAGATCTTGATTTTTACAATATCTCCATTCTGATGTTAAGCAGAATGCGAAGCGATTTCAAGAATCTTCACAGCATTTGAGTTATGACATTTCCCATAAATCATTTTAATATCACAAGCCAAAACATATGAAATTAAAACCATTCCACTTGTGTCCTGTAATGATTGCGTGATAAAAACATCATGCTCAGGCATTCACTGACAGACTTGTGACAATGACAACTCCCCGATGAAAAACGAGGCCACTATGTGCTGTCGGAAACACAAAGAGTCTGAGAGGAGCCATGAAAAATAGCAGAACTGCTGTCAGGACCGGGCCTACATCCATAAAATCAGTACTGGGTCTCATTGAGTAACTAATGAACCCAAACTGGTTTATTCCATAGATAAGCAATGCCTTAGTAATTCAAGCCGCCATACAGATGGCTTCAATCTAATTTGGCCCTTATTAGTTGGAAATGGTAAAATGGTGTAGTTAGTGTTTGTGGGGTAAAGCAATAGTCTGTAGGCCATTAGATGTACTGGACCCCTAAAATGCCTGCAAAGTGTCCCCTGAGAGACATAACAAGGGCCTATCTTTTTGAGTTTCTCTTTTTCCTCTCCTCCTCTCTCACCCATTGCTTCCTTTCAATATGAACCAGCTGTGGCGTCTGGAGCCTTTGGTGTCACCTTGTGCGTGTGTTTGAATGGGTGTTTTATTACCTGTGTTGAACCAATAATTATTTGAGGTGTTTGGAAATGGTGTCCTTACACTTTGATCTTGCTTTGCATAATCAGTTGTCTTTAAAGCAAAACATTTTAACTAAGATCTTTTGGGATGCGATACTCAGTGGTGTGCCGTGCTTAACGTCAGCTAAAACTATTTACACAGCATTTTTATATATTTTTTTCTTTATGCATGCAGTTTTATGACTTCATTGAAATACAGACTACATGTAGAAATTGTTTATATTAACGACTTTAGAAATGGTTCACTTGGTAGTCACAGATTGTGACTGAAGTGGAAAAAAATTGTTTTCACTGAAATACTCAAAATACACATTTTTCTTAATGTTGATTTTAATAATTATAATAATAAAAAACTCATGGATATGTTACATGAACTTCCCAAAGATGCATGTGTCTAGCATAGGTACAAGCGATAATAATATGTATTATAATAAAGTTGTTGTTTTTTTTATTATAAAGTTAATTTAAGGTATGCCTTTTAATCTCAAAGTCTTGTTTCTGTCATGAGGCCTGCTGTCTTGCTGTTTCCATAGAAGGATTTTACAAAGGTTTGCCTTATTCCTACCATTACATATGCAGTGAAATCACTCCACATTCTCAAAAAAACTCATTCTGTTTATAAGCTTGTTTCCCCATGAGGACCTCAGTTTAGGTTCCACGGTGGCACGAGTCGATTCGGTGTGTATTCAGGTTTTAGTCCCCACCGGGATAGAAAAACATGTAGGCTACACACACACACACACACAGAGACAGACAGACAGAGAGAGAGACAGACAGACAGAGAGAGAGAGACCTTACTTCTATAACATTTATCTCAGTAGGCTATAGGAAAATAAACAAAAAACTAAAGATTGTTTTATTATGTTGGTTTAAAATCTTTAATGAGAATATTTTGGGGGAATTCTGTCCTCCAAACTAAAAGAATAAAACTCGGTCAAGTTGTCACATGATTTTTGACAGTGGTCAAAAAAAGCTAGCAAGAGCATTTTCATAAATCAGAATTCAGTAGACAAATCACAGGTATAAATATAAATTATTTTAATCTTATGTTACTGTTACGTAATGTTATTTTTGAATTTGTACAATTAAAAGCGCGACATTCTGCAACGTTTCTCCCGCGTTTTTAACTAAGTAAATCGGAAATTGGTCTTGATTCATTCATGCTTGAATCAATAATAATGATAGACATTGCATCTACAATTTTCTGTACATCAATGTACAGAAACGTAAATTTTTTTTTAATCATCCCAATAACTATACTCATTTAGTTCGTCTTTCAACCCAAACATTCCCCATTAATTTATAACAATTACCATTACAACCAAAGTCTTCACCAAATTATGACACAGCCTAAATTCGCCAAAACTGTTTTTGCTTTCTGTAAAATAATCTTATTAAATAAGCGTTTGGATTCTGTCGTTTTGTTGAATTACATATTTATTTTTGTTTTGTTTTATTTGTTGTTGAGAGTCTTAGCGGTTTTATTGTAAACACCGTCAGCTATTTGGCAACTGGTTGTCATGGTGATTTTGCCCCTTTTTTAAATTTTTTTTTGGCCGATTCCTTTTATTGTCAGCTCAAACAGGTTACAGGTCAGAACCGGATGCTTTAACATTTTTTTCCATAAAGTGCTTACAACGTAAAGTAAAAATTCTTTTCATTAATATGAACATTTTAAAATAGCTAGATTAATAATTCATTAAAAATTGGTTTAAAGTACTTTGGTAATCACCAAGGTGGCTCTCCTTTATTCCCAAACGCTTCTGACTGTCGGTAGCCTATATCTGGCCAGGAAATCTCCGATTATATGATGGAGCGCACTGATACTCGGTTTTGTCGTAATCCCACAGGGTTTTATAAACAAGCCGTTCAATTCGGGACAGTCCCAGCATCCTCCATGGGGGTGTTCAGCAGCTCGGGTAGCCCATGCGGCAGTAGCAGACGGTCTTGAACAGGCGGCAGTGGCAGAAGGCGCACTGATCGCAGCACACCGCGTTCGGCGTCTTGCAGCTGCTCCAGAGCGGGACGCAGTTCGGCGGCGGCGGAGGTCTCTTCACACGGTTGCTGAATTTCTGAAACATACCAAATGAAGGTTTACGTTCATATGTGGTTCTTTAGCTTCTGGCACTTTATATGTGTTATTAAAAATAACAAATAAACGTGAACTAATTCATTATTTATTGCGAAAATGTTTAAACGTTTAGCACAAATTACGAGCGTAGTACCCTTGTTAAAGCATCATTTTCAAAAGTCCCTGTATTTGGTTACCAAGGAGACAAAAGTGCCAGAGAAGAGCCTGACGCGTGAGTGATGTGTGCAGAAAACAAAGATCCGGGTAACTAAATATCACTTAATATCCGATCAATTTGGTCCTATTTTAAAACTGGGAAAATGTTAATTGTGTAAAATGCAAGCTATGGAAGTAGCGAAACGAAGGAGCATACCATATTAAACCAAAACATATTTAAAATGTAATTTCCCCCACAGAATGCTGTAGCCTACTAAACCCAATATAGCTATTTAAAATCTATAGATATATTTAATAAACATATATCTATATTTTCCTAAATAGATAGATAGATCAATAAATAAATAATTAATTTTATCATCCTGAAATTAGAATGTGTTCATAATAATACAAAATTGTAGACTGAATAAAATATGTGGAACAGTTTGTACACTGAATTTGTTTTTCCCCCTTTTTTTTATTATCAGCATACTAGTTTTAAACATATTTTAAATCACCATAAACTAAATTAAAACTGAAATATTTTTGTGATTTTGCAGCTTCTCATCATTAAATCTGATGTATTAAATGTAATTAAATCAAATGTATTAAAGCGGTAAACATAAACGAATATGACATCTAACTTTACAAACCTTTTTTGGTTTCTTTTCCATTTTCTTGTTCTTCTTAGGTGTTTTTGAAAGCCCTTCGATAACGGAAAACAAATAAATCTGAACATACATCAAGTTTAAAGTTTCTATTAGTAACATATAGAAGTGTAAAATGGAGAATGATACTGATATGAATTATTAAACAACCTTAGCACTTGGCTAGAAGTTTCTGTTAACCGTTTTTAAGCAATTTCCTTTTACTGTTCATAATTAAGAATCATCATCATTTATTTTGTATAGTTTCTCTGTAGGAGAAAGAAGCCTTACCAACTATGAGCACAGAAGGTGCATCTGTTTGGTTATTTGCTTGTAAGCTGATGGTTGTTTGTTTGGCGCTGTATTGTTCCTCCATAATCATGTGTGTGTGTACCATAACACAGCAGGCTAAACAGAGCAGCACACAGCACAGCAACAATGACGGATTCATATTAAGACTTCACCCTGCACGAAACAATAGTTTCAAACATCAAAAACAAAAAGCTGCAGAATTAGTAATAATCACACACATATACACATACAGAAGTAGCCATACATTTCGGTGCAACACTGGATGTTCAAACTTTAAAGGCTTTTCCTATTTTAAAGCCCTTAACAAACAAACAAAGGGGGAGAGAAAGAAAAAAAAAACAATAGACAGAACTAGCCTTTATGAATTTGCTTTAAGAGGTAAAAATGTATCCAAACTGGAGCTCAAATCATTGTGTAAATGCGCAGAAATTAGAAATAAAACAAACATAAGCATACAATATTCCTTTATGTCATCGTACACAAAATACACATACAAAATACATCTATCAGAGCAGTTATAACCTCTAGAATTTGTGCAAAACCACTTCTCCGGCCGGCAATGGAGTCATTTTTTGTAAGTAGGCCAAATAGCACGTACCAAGAAAACAAGAATGACTGTTATATTCCTGTGCAGTAAGTTCTGAATTAATTCCAAGAGTCAAGAAAAAAACACCCACAAATGACTTACAAGTTCACAAGTAAAGCTACAGTTCCAGTTTACAGTATTTCTAGTGGCATTTGATCACAATTCATCATGTCTCACCATGTTCAACCTCCTGTTTCTGACAATCTCGTGTTTTCTTTATATCCTCTTTCAGGGTGCATTCAAAAGCGAAACTACCCATGGTAATCTTCAGGAGTCGTTGTTGGGAATTTACAAACTGACCTGTCCTGGTGAGTAATGGGGGCCCCTGTTTTCCCTTTGTGTAGCTGGCTTGAGATATTCCCCGCTCCCCTGCTGAGACTGAGAGAGCAATGTCAGACAGACTTTTGTAGTCAGGAAATTCAGAAAGGACGAAATGATAAAAATTAAGCAGGGGCGGATCCACACGCCCAGATGGGACAGAGGGAGAGAGACAGACATGAAAAAATAGAAAGGGTAAAGGATAAGTATGTGTACGAAGAGAGAGCAAGCGTGTTGCCCTGAAAACATATTTGGACACTTCACACTTGAATGGATGTCAGAAACACACTTTTGTCTGAACAAAAATGAAAAAAGAAACAGTAGATATACAGCTCAAATTAAAGCTTTTGTCACTGTCCAGTTGTCAGACATTAATGGAACATGTTCATATTTAATGTGAAGAACTACCTTAATCTAATTCATCAAAACAACAGTTGCACAGAAAGGTTCAGAAAAGCACAGATGCCACTTGCTTTGATATTTCAGGATATATAAACCAGTACACACACACACACACACACACACACAGCCTGTTTATGTTTTTGTTTGTTTGACTTAAATGTCATCAAATCCGATGCAGGCACATGACATAATAATTACACACAGAAAACAACAAGAATTGACTTTGTTTTCCTCTCAGGGCAGGTATGATTGTTACAAGATTATCTGAACAAATTGCCAAAAGAACATACATTTGGATGTTTATTTGATATGGATCTGTTGCATGCATGATTTTTTATCTGACTAAATACAATGTTATATGCTTAAGGCATTTCATTACACCTTCAACAACCGTTTCAGTACAATTGCACAATATCAAGAGACTAAATGAAAAGTGGGAAGGGACATTTTGACCAGCAGATGACGCTATAATTACCTTTCTGAGCCCTGAAGTATGTCCAGTGAATTTAAAATCACATTTGGCCATTAGGAAACCTGTTTTCGCTTTAGAGTTACATTTTAAATGACTTCTCGCTTCTGACCTCATGTACTGGTACACATTGTTTTCCAAAGAAAAGGCCCGTATGTTACAAACAGATTCAGTGTGAACTGATGGTGTGCGATAAACACAGAAATGAGCTGATTCCACGTGCTTTAGTCTGCAATAGAAAAGCCCACCCACAGATACAATACTGCTTTATGCATCTCAATAAATGGGATGGAATGAATGTAAAATATTAATTTGACAAGATTTTCTATGAAATTACAAGCCCTACACTCACAGAAAAAAGGTACCAAACTGTTACTAGGACGGTACCATTTCAAAAGGTAAATAATATGCAGTGTTGGGTAATGCCAACACTAATCACAAGTAACTCGAGTTATGTAATCAGATCATTTTGACTAGTGACTAGTAAAGTGGCACATTACTTTTTAATTTACAAGAAAATATCTGAGTTACTTTTTCAAATACGTAACACAAGTTTCTTTGACTTCTCTCTCCAATGCTGAGAGAAATCAGGAGTAAGTTCAGAGGCGTTGTGTGCACTGTGAAAACTGTAGACTAAATGTGAACATGCATTTTGCTCATCTAATTTGGACAAATACAGATTCAGTATTCTTCATGCAAATGTAGAATATGACGCAAACCGACAATGTATTTAATCCCATTTTATTTACCAATGTCTTTGTTGCTGACATTCGATGATCCGATTTATCCATACTAATAAGCAAAAATGACTTTAGATAAACATAACGTTTGTGTTATGGCTGCACAGCTGAAAGGTTTGTTTGAGCTGCGCAATCTACTGTACAGACGTGAATGTACATTTCCTTCAGCCTGAGGCTTACTGTATTCATTTCAATTTTGATGTCAAAGGCTTTTACCTTTGCCAAAAATAGAACATTTTATATTAAGAACAAAGTAATCCCAGCCCAGATGAGAAAAATCAATGCAAAATTAACGTGACACATTACTTTCTATAAAAAGTAACTAGTTACTTTTTTAGGGAGTATTGTAAAGTGTTACTTTTAAAAGTAACTTTCCCCAACACTGCTAATATGCCTTTAATGTACTAATATGTAACATTTAAGGTTAAATAAGGTACAAAGATGTACATTTTAGCTTTTGTACATTAGGGTATACTGCCCCGGTGACAGTTTTGTATCTTTTTTTTTCTGAGAGTGTACATTTTATTGTTGAGTATCCCATTTTCCTAAACAATGTCACATTACTGAAGTAAGGTCGCATATGTTATTTTATGTTGACTTTAAAGTGACAAATCAAATCTATAAAAAATGCTTCAAAGAAACAATCATGTCAGTCTTGATTTTTTCTTCTTTTCTGGCTGGCTCAATGTGGTAACATTACATTCACATATTCAACACCAAACTATTCAAGTACATTAGGTAATTACATCCATCGTTTGCTCATCTGGCTGCTGCCAGAGACTTGGGTAATGATTGTAAAATGAAAGCCATGGAAGTGGAAAAGCCAACTGAGTGAGTGCCGAACATTGCTCTCAAGGGATTTGGGAAACCTTTGAATCGTCCAGAATGAAGACGTGTTGTAAAGGCTGGCTTGACAGGCTCTGGACAAGCTAAGAAAGCATGTGTTTCTTAGTCACTTATTTTCTGTCATTAACACCAGCTTTGTCTTCTGGGCTGCTCCACCTTTAATGCTCCCCCATGAGAATTCATATGATGGTGAAAATCCGCCAGATGGGTTGTACAAAAGCATAACCACAAAAGCTGAACCCAAACAACCCAATGATTCTAATAGGAGAAAAAACATGAAAGTTAAATGTTTTCACCATCTTGTACAAATGACTTAAATGACCATGATCATGTTTTGGATCCTCTAAATTGTAAGACAGATCCTTGAGCGGAAAATTGTTTACTTTTTTTTTTAACACTTGAAAGAAACAAACTTGACCTGAAATAAAAATGTATTTAAAAAAAAAATATTTATTTTTATTTGTACATTTATTTTATTTCAGCTAGTTGTCAAGGCAACATTTCTCATTTTAATTTAGTTTATCTAGATGCACAAAAAAAAAAACTAAAGCTAAAACAGAAATGCAAATTAATGAAAACTATATTGATATAAAAAATAAGAAAAATGACAAAAACACACCACAAAATTACTAGAACCAAAATATAAAATATATAAAAAAGAATATTCTAATTATTAACTAAAACTATAATAGTATCTCAGTGATACCAAAATATTAGCCTATTAATGCTTAAAACAAGAAAAACAGTTTGCTAATGGTTTATAAAAAATGCTAATTTAAAATATATTATCTGAAAACTAGTCTTATTATCATATGCAGTCTTGCCTCTCTAGTAAATTTTAAATATGTTTCGATATATTATTATAAAAATGTCAAACACACTTTTCTATAAAATGAAAATGCATGGTGATCACTGGATGGCAAGTGATTTTGCTTTTTTAATTTCATTTTATTTTTTGAGAGAGATCGGGCTTTGAACCGATTCTCTTGCACACCATGTGAGTCACGAATGTCTCATATTTTATAAGCTCGGTGCTAAATTGCTAAGGTAATAAAATGGGTGTATAGTCAGTTTGATTTAGTTGTTAAAGAAAAGCTAAATAAAATTATATAATAAATGACATTGTAAATGTATAATTCTCTTCCTCCCAAGAACAATAGTTTGGAGCACATGGTTACAATTGAAGTCTGTTACAAGTCAGTTAAACATGCAGTGATTTAATATGAACTAATTTTCAGCACAGGATCCTGCATATTTTTAAGTATTTGCAGCATTTTCTAATATTTTGTTCTCTGTAACGCTTTTTTTTTTTTGTCCTTTATTAAGGTGATTTTGGCTGCATATTTAATCTTAGATTATCACATATGTAACTGTTCTGAGTTTGCAACTCGAGAAAATACATGAAATACAATAAACATTATTCACATACATCATGAAATACAATAAACGTTTTCACAATAAAAAGACTTAAAAACATACAGTATTGTGGCTTTTCAAGGAAAGTTTTTTAAAGACCTTTTGATCAATAAACTGTTTAATGTTTTAATATTTCTATATTCAGAAAATGTGCTTTGCACATATAATATTTTGAAATCCAATTTTATATAAAACTATATATAATATTCTAATATAAAATATGTATATTTCAGTTTTACTCTTCTGTGAAATTAGGGTCCATATGTTTCAAACAATGAATCACAAACTTTGACATTTTTAATGAATGAAAATTTGATTGTTGTAATGAATGAAATGAGCAATATGATAAAAAAAAAAAAAAAACGTTTTATTTTATATTTTGGCGATGTGTTTTTAGTTTTGTAGGACACACATTCTCACTGAAACATCTTTTATCTTTTGGATATCCTATGTTATCTAAAAGAAAACAAGTAAAAAGTCTTTTTACAAAATCTCATATTTCAGTGAGAATATGTGACTTACAAAACTAAACACATTGACAAAATATAAAATAAAACGTTGTTTATTATGTATCTATTACAACAATCAAATTTTCACTCATTCAAAATGTCAAAGTTTGTGATTCATTGTTTGATACACTTGGAACTTGATTTTGAAATGAGATTTTGTAAAAAGGCTTTTAAAGTGTTTTCCTTTAGATAAAGTAAGATTATATATATATATATATACATTTCTGAAAATGAAGTGAAGTATATGAAACAGAAATGTCCACATCACAAAAATGATGAGTGATTCTACATGTGTTTCCATTTTCAACATAGTTGAAGCTATTATGTCGTTTGGGTAGAGAAACCTTTGATTTCAACATCTTACATTTAGTTTCAAAGCCTTATTGCGATTCAGTTTCAGAAATCACAGAACAATATGTCTCTGAGATCAATGGAAAACTGCCTGGCATGTGAATAAGTGCCCACAGACTCTAAATAGCAGCACTGTTCACTGTCTGTCAAATCTGTCTAACTGATTTAAGGTTTTGCATACTTCTCGCTATTCTCCGAAGCCCATGACACCGTGTATATTTTCAGCTTCACCAGTGCTAATGCTATACATATAAACTTGAAATGGGCCTATAATGAAAATAAGACGTCTTGGCATAGTTTCAGTGTTTTGATTAGTAATGTGTATATGTTCTTTTTCTAGTCTAAAAGCAAGGCTCAGTCTATTCGAGAACTAAAGTAACAAAGATTTATTACATTAAAAATGCATTTGTAATTTTACAACCCTCAAAAGCAATAATGTCAAATTTGTGAAGCGATTAGCTGAATGTATAATACACGTTCAAATGAGGTCCCCATGTAACTTTCATGATAAGCTATGAAAATAAATCAAATTAAGACAGAGAGAGCGAGCGAGCGAGCGAGAGAGAGAGAGAGAGAGAGAGAAAGAGAGAGTCAAAGAGAAGGAATAAGACATTTTTTACCTTCTGCACATATTTTCTTGTCCGGATTTCTCTTCCCTCCCATGCTCAGAAAGCATAAACTACTTATTTCCTAAGCAGATTTACACATGAATACATTTTCTTTCACTTCACTTCACGGCTTGTGGTAAGAGTGCAACAGCTCTTTTACTGAAAATTGAGCTGCACTCAGCAGATATAGTATGGAGAATGCATAGATTAGCAGTGTTCCACCCCTTAGGTAAATGATACATACCCTGAAAACCCTCCTGATCCACTGCTGGCCTCCAGTAGCATGTATACTGTCTGTGATATATTACATAGTGGAGACCATAACTAGCTGTGACTCTTATACTCTGGAGACACAAACCTTAAAGCCTTAAAACTGCACAACTGAATCCATACATTAAACAAGGACTTATTATAGCAATTTAAATATCCTTAAATGTTAGAAACCTCTCATTGCAGATGATGACCTCATGGATCAGGAAACATTTCAGTTCAAACAGGTGTTTAGGAAAGTACTGTGGTGGTTTTTGTTGCTAACTAATTTTGGAGAGACAATAAGTCAAACTGACCATTTAACCCTAAACACACACATACAGCCAATAACATT